GGGGCCGGTGCGCGTTAGGCGAGAGGCTGGGAGGGGCCGGGGCAGGCGTGTGCGTGGGCTCTGCGCTGTGCTGCTCTGAGCAGGAGCCAGGAGGGAGTCGGGAGCCTCCTCTCCCCGCCGCGGGGGTGAGGCTTAGCCAAACGCGAGTGAGAGTTCGTGCCGGTTGCCGCGGGCCGTGCCGGTGCTGGGAGCGCGGAGCGCTTCCTCCGTCCCCCCGGGGGATGGCGGTGGAAGGGCCTCGCTTTCCTGCGGTTTCTCTCCTGTGTGGCAAAAGCAATCGCCCTGAAACCTTTAACTGCGCTGTGTTTCTGAAGGAGTGGGGCTACCGGCTTGTTTCCGTTCCTGACTCTCGTTTGTTTCAATGCTCTTGGTGACGATTAGTCTAACCATGAGTTACGCTGCTTTTGTTTGTTTTCCTTTTCTGTAGCAGTAGGTTGCTGGAGTGCGTTATACGGATTTTTTAGTAGATGTTGGAGACAAGGTGGGCTGGCATTGCTGGTTTTCTTAAGTATTTACAAACGCACGCAGTGGAGATAGTGGTTTTTATGATTGATCGATTGCTCTTAGAGATTTTAATCATCTAAGTGATTTGCTGAGAAATTATTACAAAGCTTATTTTTAAGGGTTTTCCTGTTGACTTTGCAGGCAAGCTCTTAATTGGTATTACAGTGGTGTGCTGCATGTAAAAGCAATTAAACATGATAAAAGATCTTTTTCCAATGCACTTTATGTAAGGTGTTTGTAACTAAATACATAGAAATTGTGCATTCAAGATTGTTAGAATTTACTTTAAAATGACTTTTTTCTGCTTTAAAAACTGATGAACCATAATTATGTGAAGGCATAAAGGCCTTTAAGTGTAGTTTTTAGTAGAATGAATAAGATCAGATTCCTTAATTTCTTGTAATATGGTCGTTTGATGTAGGTGAAAATTTGAGCTTTATTAACTTCAGAGTGTTCTCATAGCGCATTGTGTTTTTTAGCCATATAAATTTTTGGACTGGAATGTATGAGTATGCAAAAATATCTCTTATTGTGCCTGTTCCTAAGATGATAACAAGTGAAGCACACTTAAGTGTATTAAGTATTGCCACCTGGGTTATGACTGCTGTAGTGATAAAGGAACTTATATGCACTGTAAATTTGCCCCTTTCTGAATGCTAGTATATTTTTGTAGATATGTTTTGTCCTGAGCCGGGTTAGGGTGTTATGGTCCAAGATGAGTAGTGCGGTTGTTTTTCAAGGAGAAAAGATGAGAATCTCTAACTAAATTTAAGGAGGTGTTCTATAGACCCGGCATCCTTCTTTTCTGTTAGTTTCTTTTGAAAGGAGAAGTTTCAATAAGTGAAACTATTTACATTGGAAATAAACGATATTGCTGGTGTAAAATACAGAAATAACGTGGTAAACAGGTAGACAGATTCTTTTTTTAAGAAAGGAAATATTAGGAAGTCTCCTGATGCTCAGGATGAATTTAATTTTGTTAGGACTTTGAGACAAAAACAGATGAAATGCATGGCATAGGGAAGCGGCAATAGCTGTTACTTTTTGCAAGTATCTCTTAATTACAAAAATAACACACTAAAGGACAGGATCCTGATCAGCAGTACTAACTTTGTCTAGTTTTTTAATCAGTGAAGTCATGCCAGCTACCCAGTTTCAGTCTGTTGTAAAAAAACATAGCTAGTTCTTATTCATTAACTTTCTTTTCCTTTTCAATTGCTTTTTGAAAATGTGTACAAAGATAACAATGCAGTTAAAGGCAGATGTAAAAGCATGGGAAGAACTGAGTTGTTATAAAGGACTTTGGGGTGC